TGAATTTGCAAGGGACTTTAGTCCATGACAATTTCAAATCTTCTAAATCACAGCCTCTGGGACTGGAGCCCAGGAATCTGTCTTCCACAGTTCCCAGGTGGCTCCTATGCACACTGTTTAAGAAACCTGATTGCCACCTCGGGCACCTTAGTTTCCTCATCTGTAAAGCAGGATTGACTGTCACCATGCTTTCCCATTTCAGAGCTGCTGATGTTTGGGGATGAGTTAAGAACATATGGGAAAATGCATTCTAAAACTGCAAAGTGCTACGTGAATGATAATCATTTAAACTTTACCACCTGCATTTCCACCAAATCTTATTCTAAAAACCAAAAGTAAAGGAGAATAAAAGGAAAAATACTATAGATGTTATCTTAATTCTTGTAATTCAACTTCAGATAACTAAAATACTCAAGAAATTGAGTGTTCTAGTTAATATTTAGCAGAACATTCTGGTCACTTTTTTGAAAAGCCCTTTCAAATATATTATTACACTTTCTTGGTAAATACATAACTTGGATCTTACATGATGCCAAAGGGTTTTTATTTGGAGTCAGCATTCTGAATATCGGTTCTTGCAGCACAGGACAGGCTCAGCAGAGTCATCTAGGCTCTGCCTTGACCTCAACCGTTAAAGGGTTTCTTGCTTATTTCTTGTTGTTTGGGAGATATTTCATGGTTGGCAGAGGCGTGTTTATTTTAACCAGGGGCAGGTCTCTAATTACAAGTTGTATTCCAAAAGCTTATTTATTCCTAAGTTGTTTGCAACTTGACATGCCCCTCCCCCTACCAAAGAAAAAAAGGCATAAATCACACTTAAGTTTTCTGGCTTGTCCAAAAAGCCCATAATATAGATGAAATACATTTGCTTTGCATTAAAAATCACACAAATATTTTACAATGGAATTTACCAAACTTAAAAACAAAATTGAATATAAAACTATTTTCATTGACCTTTAATACTGATATCTGAGAAAAAGAGTTAGCTGGAGGATGATGAGATGCTGATAGATAAAAATTTCTGTAACTTTTCTAAAAAGGTTAATGGTCCCAGTTCTTTATTACACAGAATGCATAGGTCTCTCAACATGGCCACTGGGGATTTTCTCCAGAGTCAAGATTAGGAAATGATGCGGCAGGAGACGGCAAAACTGAGTGTCCAGAGTTAACTGAAAGAGTGGAAAAGAAGAGAAAAAAGAAAGGTGGTGAAGGGTGGCTGCGTATCCACGAGAGAGAGACTACATGGAGTGGACATAGCTGAGATATAAAAGGTGAGAGAGAGAAAGACCAGAATATGACAGGAAGTAACAGAAACCAACACTGGAGAAAAGAGTTCCCTACAAGAGCCACAAAGACTGAATTTGAGGTGTCATGGCAAAGTCACCTAAACAGAAGAGGCCCTGGAGTGAGGGAGACTCATCTGCACCAGAAGGACGGCCTCACTTGTACCTGCCAGATGGCCACACGTGGGTTGTTGAACCTGACGGATGCCCAGGGGCTAGATCCTGATTCTGAACCCAAGTTATCACAGAGGCCCTGTCTGGCCTCTCAGGCACGATGGCCTTAGCTGGTAAGCTCTGTTTATAGTTCACTCACTGCCTCTTCTATCTACCCCTGCGCTAACACAATGAGATCCCAGTTTAATCCTATCCCTAATTTACACCCAAGTGTCACCTCTATTAGTGCATCTGTATTTAGATTCCAGACCTTCAACTGGACATATGGGTCTTTGGTTGTGTATTCAGTCTTCCCATCTTGCCCTTTTCCAAGTCAAAGTGTCACTCAGGCTAAATAAAAACACAAGGCACTCATTCATTCAACCAAAAGCTGACACCGAGCGTCAGGCAATGTCTTGGGTCCAGTAGTAAACACAATGGTCTGTTGGGTTCCTAGAAATGTTTGGTGCATTTTATTAGAACATGTGAAACAAATACCATAAGGGGCAAACAGTAAACTTCCCTGGCCTCTAAGATGCTCTGGTCATTTTGAAAGAAAATGCTAAACTATGGTTGGATGGATATTAAATTTTACAAACCAAAGAGCAATGTGAATTCCAAGTCAAATCAAGAGCAGAGAACTATCTTGAATATTCTCCAGGCTGTATTCTGGAGATAAGATAATGTGTTGTAAGAGGAACTGGAGAGAAGCTAACAGAATTAATAATTTTCATACCCAAATTTCTGATAAACAAGGTCAACTTCTGCCACTTACAAAAAACTCTTTCCTTTAAAAGTGAAAGGAATCTTCACTCACCACCACCCCCACACAAGGGCCTTGACACACACACGGGTATATGTATTCATAAGCACAGCAGAAGGTCACAAACACAAAATAATCCTGTACAAGGGCTCAGCAGAGAAGGGAGGAATGTATTGCAATGTGGTTGAAAATTCCCTGTCCTTTAAAACAATGCCAGGAACAAGAAGGACATTTCAAATAAATCTTCAAGTCCAACCTCAGTGGAGGTTGGCACTTCAGTTCAAAACTTAGCTTCAACGAAGGAAAGGCATCTGGTATTCAACACGTCCACTGAAGCATATAGAGACCAATACCTGGATTTGCCCTCTGGCTGTTTTCCGGGGTCTGGCTCAGGGTCCAGGCATGAGCATTTCCAGGGCCCAAAGCCCCAGAGCAGAGCCTGCTGGTCTTCCCCTGGGATCAACACTACACTGGGGACGGGCGAAAGGGGGGCAGCATATTCCCTCTGCATCCACTCGTACATACCTACATCGTCCAGGTTTACCTGAAATATGTTCAGAAAAACGCAAGTCGTACCGCCACTGATCATCTGTCTGCAAGGCAACTGTTGGGTTTATCCCACTAGATAGAAACCGTGTGGCTGAGGACCACCTCAGCGGTCTGCCTCTAGTAATCCCAACCCCAGATGCCATTACTCATCCATTTCTTCAGTTTTATGAAAAGTGTGCTGATGTTTAACCTGAAAAAGGAATCCCATCGTTGCAGCTCCTTTCTAGAAGACACGTCCCAGAGAACTTCAATACCAACTGTCAAGTGCCTTTTGGAGACTTTTCCCTTCGGAAGTGCATCATTTGGGGAAGGTCTGGGGGGAAGAAGGGTATTAAAGCAGGGAAGGGAAAGAAGAATGGGTAAGAGGTTTCACTTTCAGCTCAGTTATTAATTAAGAATTTCAAAAATACAGCAATGACTTTTGGTCTATTAATGTCCCACAGTATTTCACCAAAAGACATGAGGTAACTATTCGTTCTGGCAATAAATAAACCAGAATGAAGATTAAAAAAAAAAAAAAAGACATGAGGTAAGAATGCTTCCCAATTCATGCTCCAGCAAAAGGCCCCACCCAACGGGATAGAAAGTATCCAGACTGTCCTACTTGTGGAAGTCAGTCCCGAGACACTTTCGTGTCAAATGCCCAGGGGTGCAGCATCAGAGCATAACAATGCTGTTTGACCAGCTGACTTCAGGTGACAAAGACTGAAATGCACGTCCCAAAGGTAGACCTGTGCTGATAGCTACTGAGAAGGAAAAGATTTAAAAGCTGAATTTAGCAACTGGAAATTTAGCAACCTTTCAAGACTACAGGCATTTAGAAATGATTTCACATTCGAGTTACACACTGATTCAATGTACAATTATTGAATACCTTGTAGTATGCTCAACAACTGCAAGTACTGATACTAAATAATTTAAGTGACCCTGTTGTAAAAGCTAAGGTCTCCCATGAACAAAAACAAAAAAGGTGACTTAATAGACAAAACTAAGTTCTCATCAATATCACGTGTTCTAGACTCAAACGTGATATATGATGCAAAAATACCTCTTGAGATACACACATTATGATTTGGGATACTTACTCTTTGAACCTTAGGCTTATTTAAGGACTAAGTACATGACACCATCTCTTTAGGAATGTCAGTTCCTCAAAGTATTGTAACCTCTCCATGACACCCAAAATACAGTGAAAAGGGAAATGCTTACGAAAGGAAAAAGATTTCAAAAATCAGAAAAGATATTCTCCACCCAGCAATGTCCAATCATAATATGTAAGTGAGAAAGTATTTTAGGATACACTATGCATAGAAATCTGTTACTTCCATATAATACAATAAAAATGATTGCATCTCCTTGTAGTTTTCGATTTACTTCCCCATAGACATTGTTCCGTTTGATCCTCAAGATAGTCCCATGCAACGCACAAAGGAGTTGACGTTTTAACACAGAAAATGAGGTTTGGGGAGAGTTCTACAAGGCCTCTGCAATTAATAACGGCCATGAAACCACGGACCCAGGCTTCTCTCAGTCCAGTAATTCCCACCATAGATCCAGAATGAAAATCAACCCCCACATTTCCTAAAGTTGACTGTGGATCCTGCAGCTGTCATAACAAAACAGCAGAGGAATAACGGGGACTTTTGTTAGCAATAAAAACCCCTGTGGCCTATGGTTAAAAGAGTGGACAAAGAATCATAACCGTTTCATCACACTGACATAACATGAAGATTGACAGAATTTGTGAACAGCTGCAAGGAAATTCCTAAACACAGCCAAAGGAGAAAGTATTTTCTAAAGTTCCTGATAAAACTTCAAGATCTCTGTTAAATCTTTGCAAGCTGAATCAGTTCACGCAAGGAAAGTCATCAATACGGCACCCAGAGTCTCCCAAAAAGGGGAGGGAAAAAACACCTAGTTGGTCCTTCTTAAGACCCCCACCTTTCGGGCTGGTCATTTTTCCCCTATGAAAACCTTGCACCGTCTGGGGGAAGAGGTGGTATTTCCCAAGAGCACACTTTTGTGCCTGCGCTCGTGAGCAGGCCCTTATAAGCATCAGCGATGCAGGGGAGCGGGAGCTCTCCCCCAGGTACAGGGCAGGGAGCCGAGGGAGGCGCACGGACACCGCCGGCAGAGGCCCGCGGGGCGGCGCAGGGGGCGCGGAGAGGCGGCGTCTCCCCGGCCGGGGCTGACCGCGCTGGGGCGCACGAGCCGGGCGCGCCCTCCCGCCTCCCGGCCGGGCCCCGACCTACCAGCGAGAGCACCTTGTAGGTGTTGGGGTCCTTGGTCACGGGGGCGCGCGCCGCCTTCTCCGGCGGCTCCTCCCCCAGGTCCATGGGGGCCAGCAGGGACGCGGCCGCCTGCGGGTCCCCGGGCGCCTGGGCCGCACGGCCGCGGCTCGGGTTGCGGGCGTTCCCCGCGCGACCCCCCCCCGAGCCGGGCGCGCCCCCCCCCACCCCGTCGCGCTCCATCGCGGCCCGGCTCGGCCCCGCCGCGCCTTTAATAGGCCCGCCGGCCCGCCCCGCCCCGTCCCGAACGCCGGACCCCTGGCTCAGCGCCCTCCGAGGGAGGGGAAAGCAACCATACGCCTGGGATTATTTGGCTTCCTGTGTGATTTCGGGCACTCGGCGTATCGGTTATTTTGGGTCCTTTGCGTGGGCGCGTCTTGAACTTCCCTCCAAGCCGCCGCTGCTCGCGCCCCGGGCACCGTCCGAACGCTTGCGGGAATCGCCCTGCGTGGCCTGGCGGCGCGGGCAGGACTGGAAATGCAGAGTCTGCAGAGGGCATGAGCTCATGGGGCCCCAAGATAGAGCGGGAGGAGACCAGGCTGTGCAGCTTCTGGAAGGCGGGAGAGTGGGGTCAGGACAGACCTGACCCTGTGTTTCTGGATGGACGTGCAGATGGTATAGGGTGGGGCGTGGGGATGGCGATCGTTTTTCCTACGTAGAAACGGACAAGAATTCCCTAAAGCCCTGCCACCCACTGCCTACGCTAATCTGAGAGGAATATCCACCCTTAAAATATCTGTCTTTACACATATAAGGGATGTGTAGTTTTTCACGGTTTTGTGTGGTTTCTGGGTATTTGTCGCTGCTCTCGTTTTAATTTGTTTATTTAATTAGTCCTTTTAGACTTTGTACATTGAAGGCTTCAAAGTGTAGGCGTTGCGCCATCCTGAGGTTGACGCTGACACTTGGTTAGCAATATCAATCTACCACAATCTGAAACACTCTGATACTGAAGGGAACAGTGGGCCGTAATTCTCGGTGGGTTTTGATTCACCTCTGATTCTACAATTTTTACATTTCCTTCCTCATCAGTTAGAAAAACCACAAGCGTGTAGTGAAGCGTGTAGTGAAGTGAGTCTTGCCTGTCAAATGGAAACCAGGGACTTTCAACTGCTTCGCAGCACCCGGGCCTAACTACAAGGACCAGGCGAAGTTGTACAATCCAAAACCAATTCACTGTCAACTCATTCTGATTACACGAATATGTACAAGTGTTTTTAAAAATGAGAATGGATGTTAGAGTGTGTGTTGTCCTCTTTAAAATAGTCGGCTTGGGATGCTTTCCACTTATATTGACTCATTCATTCATTCGTTCAATAATGAATCCATCAATTCAATCTTTTGCCCTCAACTATGCATAGCATCTCAAAGATGAATAAAAGTATGTTTCTCCCAAGTGGCTTTCAGTTTGGTGGAAGGGGGCGAAGGCAATAAAAAAAAAAATTTAAACCAAGTCATCTCTGCAGAATGGAGTCACAAATAGGATATTATGGAAGCTCAATGGAAAGGGAAACTGACAGCTGGAAGGAGTAAAGGCCATCCCTCAAAGTGTTATTGAGCTTTTTTTTTTTAATTACCTTTGAGTCATCTTACAAACCACCCAAGAGAAACAGGTTTTCACTATTTCATAGTCACACATATTTTTTACCCCAAACTTGGCTCCAAATTTTCCTTTAACTGTTTCCAAAAATCAGATTCAAGGGCAAAGATTTGCTCCACGGAGACTGATCAAATGAGTGTCAGAACTTCTGAAAGCGACTCAGCAGAGACCTTCCAAAGTGGCTATGAACCTGACAAAACAAATGCCATCAGTGTATTGTCTGCATCCCGAGGCAAGGAGTTGCTGTAAAGGCTTCACCCATTGGAAAATCAGTGAACAGGGTGCAGGGTCACAAACTCAAAGGTCAAGGGATCGTGAGGACCATAGATGAGTGAGGCGGCCCCTGCAGGTGAACTGCCTGCCCTGTTATAGAGTGCGGCTTTCACTCAGCGCTATTGTGTGCCCGTTGTGGCCAGAGAGATTTCTCAAGAGAAACAGGAAATTTAGATGTTTGTGTGAATTCTCCAGATTGCAAAATTTTGTCTACAAAACTCAGAAAAACAATTTCTTTAAACACTTTAACAGCCAAATAAAATGTAACACATCTGCAGAGTGGGCCTGGCAACCAGGCCATCAGGATGTGGCCTCTGCCTTATGCTCATTGCTTCTCCTGTGCCAGTTGGGACTTTTATGGGTAACTATAAAAATCCAGTTGAAATTCTGAAATCGGAGGAGTAAAAATGGCTGGAGTATGGCACTCATATTGTTCAGCAGTGGGCACAGCAATGCCTGTAGTGAAGTCTTGCCTGGTCTTGTTTCTATTCCAAATGGTCCGAGGGACAGCTTCCCACTCCAAAGTACAACAAGGGCATGAGACATACAGAAAACATTCCTGAAGTTTTACTGTACAGAAAGATTTAAACGTTTCTCCCTTGGTGCCTGAAAGTTTCGATGTAGATAAGACCAAAACACTAAACAAAACCCACTTATCTATGTTTGAACTATGACTTCTCAAAGCTGAGAAACAGCTCCTCTCAGCTTTTAAAAATGAAATATGCTGTAGAGTAATTATTTTAGCAGCTGCTCCAGAGCTCCTCCAGCTTCCTCCAATTCTCCAGTAAAACACCAGAGACATCTAGCCCAGTCTAAAAAGAAAATAACCACATGGCTCTTTCATCTTTATGAGACTTAGAAAAAAAATTTTTGCTTGGCATTATTTTTAAGATTTTGCATGACATCCTGATTGCTCTTTCTTTTCTGTAAGCACAAAAATATGCCTTCTGGAAGTAGCTTGGATAAGTACATGACCTTGTACAGATTACAAGGACTCTCTGAGTCTTGGTCTCCTCATTTAAAAAATGGTGTTACAAATAATACCATAGAATTACACTGCTATCTCTAAATGGCGGCAAAATGTTTAATATTTCCCCAACTTTACATAAAAGTTTAAATTTATCCTTTTCATATGTAAATCAACTAGTCCCTACCCCTAAGAGAGAGAATGAAATGATTTAATTTTTACAAAAATTATGAGTGATTTATACATAATTTCTGGGAAGGTTTGGGAGCTGCCATTGGATATGTGTGTACACGGGGAGAGCCTGTGGGGTCTGGAAGGGACGCTGGTCCCTCTGGGATGGAGGAGAGACACCTTGTTATCAAGTCAGGTAACAAAATGAGTAAAAGGAGCCCAGAAGTGTAAGATGCAGTTGTGAGTAAAAAACTGTGGGAAAATGGAAAACGCACACCTACTCTAACAGGAGCTGCTGTCCCATCCTTCGTTTTTGGTTGTCCGCAGTCTGTGCCACTCCCCGTTGTCTCTTATGCCTCATTTGGGACAAAACCTCATTTGGTTGCCAACAATTTGAATTGGTGCCTGCCACTTTGCTATGGATTTTCTATATGCCTCTTTTCTGTGTGTGTCTCTCTGTTTCTCCTTCACTTCTTTAAATTTGTGTTAGAAATATTTTTTATTATGCCAAGTTAATTCTGCTATTGAATTTTAGCTTTTTTTAAAAGTGATTTTCTTAGTAGTTGCTCTAGACGTTATAATATGCATCTTTAACTTACCCTCTACTTCGGATTAATGCTGACAATTCTGGGAAAATATAGCATGTTTTCTGTAATACATCTCCATTTCCTCATCTCTCTCTTCTGCTATATTGTCAGGTATATTAATCGAAATGTGACATAAAGACAACAATGCAGTGTTATAATCATTGTTTTAAACAACCTTATGTTTTCCAAAGAAATTAAGAGAACAGGGTACACACACACACGCACACACACATATACAGATTTTTTTTTCCTGAATGTGTCACATTTTCTTGTTTCCTTGCATGTATTGTAATTTTTGGATGAAAATTGGATTTTTAGGTGATATAACAACCCTGGATTTTGATTATTTTCTTTTTCAGTACTCTCCTAGACTTACAGCTACAGATTTTTCCTGCTGTTTCCTACCAATTTGTCATTTTTACACACTACCATCACCCCACCAAATCAAGTCCACCCCTGGTGGCTAAAGGCTGCAGACTCCCACTGTTCTTACCCAAAGCACTAGCAGTTTTTCAAGAATAAATGCTTCTCAACTTGTCTGCCTTTGGTCAACTTACAAAACCCAGAAATGGTTGTTATTGAGAGTTCTGTCCATTTTTATACTTGCATTTTGTGGAGCGGATTTGCAAATCTTTTCACACTAACATAGCTGGAAGTCCATCCCAGATTTTTAAATAAATGCTGGAAATTGGGATGTTTCTTTAAATTTTTAAATATTAGCAACTGAGTCAATATTTTTAAAGACACCGTGGAGGCCAACAAAACATACCTGAGGGATTGATTGACTCACAGGCTCTCGATTTGCAAACTCTATCCTAGGAGTACACCAGGTGTGCCTGCAAAACACTGAACTTCTCCATCCGTCTTGGTTGTAACTCCAGGGTAGGAATTCCCTATCTAGGCCAATGTCTATTCTATAAAGACTATACCACAGTCCCTCAATCCCTTTGTATCTTTGGGGTAACTCAGTGACTGGGGTATGATATAAAGAGCCAAATGTGTGTGAGCTGAGTTAAGGTGTGAGGAAGGGACTGGTTCCCCAATATAGTGTGTTGTTCCAGAAGAAAGGGGATTGGATGATAGATAGCAAAAACAATAAATGTCCACCACAACCTCTTAGCTCCTTAAGTACTATTGGAACTCTCTAAGCATTGCGAGGTCTCCACGGGCAGTTTCATCTGAGATGACAAATTGCTACTAAAAAGATCACTCACTCTTCCTTATTGTGGGCATTGCGTGTGTTCTTTGGAAGTCTCTTGAAATTTTAGGAAATATGTGTAGAAGAGACACAAATTTACACATTACTATTCAGATGTGCGAAATAAATAAATGATCCAGCCTTCTTCTAAGCCCTCATCTCACTGGGTAACTAGATTGAGGTGGGTTGCAGGGAGGGCACTAGATCATGTTATCTCAATCTCTTTCAGCGGCTTTGGGCTGACTCAATGTTTGGGGGTAATTGTGCCCATTCTTTCTGTTTTCTCCTGTATTTCTGCTCCACGTGATGTTTGTTGGCAGGGGTTGGACAGGGTTCTTGAGGCAATGTGAGAGTGGCCCTGCATTGGCTTGCTTCTCTTTGGGTTGTTC